GGGACATTTATCAAAACCCTATTTTCCACTACAAGAAGAAGGCTAGCATGAGATTCAAAGACAATTAATACAAGAGATTGAAGATTCAAAGTTGGAATTGAAGATTAATGAAAAAGAAATTGATTTTTCGAATTCCAATCATTGTTTTCAATTTCGGGCGATATTTTTCCAAATCTTTTTATGTAATTTACATAAAATGTTAAGCTAATTTTTTTCAGGTATTGGACGAAGATTAAACCTTTTATTATTTATTGTTTATTCAAGACAAATAGTTAGTAAAATTCTTATTTTTCTTGATTAATCTTGCATGGGTAATTTTATTAGTTGGTTGTTTGATTACCAACTAAATATATAGTTGATTGTTGTTGTATTGGAGACTCACAATAGGTCTAAAACATTACTTGATTAACATACGTGCAATAGATATTAGAAATAATGTTTATCACGTGTGCAATCTTTTATATAATTGTGAAATTGAATGCGTTCTATTCATTCGAATTCGGACTAGGAATATATTCGGGTCGTGACTAGAATAGATTTAATTTGTTTTGAAAAAGAGAATTAATTACAATAGAATTATTGATTGTCAAGAATGCATGAATGATACTAGCTACGTAATAGAGAATTAAAATAAATAATAATAGGTGGATTCGTAATTCAATACACTCATTCTATATACATACAAAACTCGAATTTTACAAGCTTTCGTAAATTAATTTAATTTAGAATAATTATAAATTACAAATCTCTATTGTTTGCTCACTTTAAATCTGATTAGAAACTAGTACACTTGAATTGAATTTATTCTCAGTGGGACGATAACTCTTAATTCATCACGTATTACTTGTCAACGATCTTGTACGCTTGCGAGTTTCACATAAACACATATCTAGCATCGAATATCAATGAGAGGATAATTGGAAAAAGAGGGGGTTTTGGTGTATGGTAATTTAAATATATAAAATCCTTTCATATGGCAGAAATGAGGGTAATTGGCGCAAAATGAAATGTCCCTACCTTTACCTGTCTTTGTGGAAAACATTCATACATTTCGTTTCTTGACACAGTTCGTCCCTACCTTTCACTTTTTTTGCGTAAAACGTCATTTTCCCTAATTTTTAACGTAAAATGACGGATATACCCTCCAATTTAAATAAAACAAAAAGGAAAAGAAAAGAAAAATAAAAAACAAATTGCAATATGCTCCTAGAGTTTTTAAAAAAGGCAAATCAGTTCAAAACTTATGAAAATATTGAAAATAACAAAAACACACACTCTCTCTTCTCTTCCACCTCCCTCCACCACCTCCACCCCATCGTCACCGCTGCCAAAATTTGGACTAACCGCAAAAATTGGGGACTGATATTTGGCTGTCTTTCCATCTCTTCTCCTTCTCTCCCTCCCCCCTCCCACCACGCTCCCTCGATCCTATTCTTTTTCCAAAATTCTTTGTACTTCATCATCCCTCTGTCTTACAGCCAAATTTCCCAAATTTCACTGTCAAATTGGTAACCAATCGTTAAGAATCACAGAGGAGTGATAAAACTCAAATTTCTCAATTCCCAAAACTCCACAACAATTAGGCAAGGAAATCCACCCGAATCTGACTATAATCCTCTCGATATCAAAATTAAACTCAAACAAATGGCCAAGATTATCAACAATGGCCTTACAAACAACATAAAAAGCCCTATGGTGGTAGGGGAGTCGATGGTGAAGCGGTGGGATATTGCAGAGAAGGGGACAGCGTGGGCTAAGCGAAAGAAGGTGGCGACGAGGGCAGCATTGGGTGGCAAAGGGTGGAGGGAGGTCAAAGAAGGAGTAAGAAGTCGAAGGAGGAAAGTGAAAGAAGGCTTAGAAAAATTAAAAAATTGAACCCACTTGGGGTCATAATCCTCCATAATCAGGAGAGGACAAAAATCGGTAGAACCAATTTTTTTGTGGCGGTCGTGGGGTGGGTGGTAAGGGGAGGGANAATTCCTGCCTCCAACAAGAAGGCCATGAAGGGAACTCCATACGAGGGCATCATATTCCATTTTCTGAAGCAATTGTGGGTCAATCTTGTGAGGATCAAAGATAAATTAGATAAGACTCATAGAATTTCGTTGATGGGTCTCCATTTCTTCAACTCCGCTGCATTTCGAAGCCTGAGCCATGGAGAAATTGGCTGATTTTGGAAATTGGGTTTGCAAGGATTTAGTAAAGGGACTGAAAAGTAAAGATGCTACGCGAAGAAATGGTGCTGGAGGTGGGAAGAAAGCAGTGTGCGTCGCCAACACCCATTTTTCATAAGTTTTGGACTGATTCACCTTTTTAAAAAAGTTTAGGAGTAAGATTGCAATTTATTTTTTATTTTTCTTTTCTTTTCCTTTTTGTTTTATTTAAATTGGAGGGTATATCGATCATTTTACGTTAAAAATTAAGGAAAAAGACGTTTTGCTCAAAAAAAAGTGAAAGGTAGGGACGTTCTGCGTCAAGAAACGAAATGTAGGGATGTTTTCCACAAAGACAAGCAAAGGTAGGAACGTTTTGCGCCAATTACCCCAGAAATGAAGTTCCACTTAGAAAAATTCACATCATTTGTGCATCATATATCTTTTCTTTTCTTTCTTTTTATTATTTATTATTTATTATTTTTTTACCAATTACTTGCACTCTAACTTTGAAGGTTACATAACTCTTGGAATTTGCTTGAGATAAGCAAGGACTACCTGACTACATATTGCTAATGAGCCTCCCTATTTATTGTTTGTAAATGAGAGAGATTCTATCGTGAATTCAATGTGAATAAGAGGAAGATTTGCTAAGAGTTGACGTCTAAAAAAGACTTGGACGTTAATGTTGCCTAATCTAACACACACTGATCATTGTTAAGCCAGTAATGTTTTTGGCTTTAAAAAGAAAGTGTTATACAATAGGGAAGGAACTTTCATGTCCTGTGATGGTAAGGTGCAAACATGAACATTGTTATGAAGAAAAACACCATCAATTGAATCGCAAACCTTCCCATCTTGTCAATAAAGCGGACAAATACCGGAACTCACTCTTCACTTCCTTTGTCTGCTTTCTTTGGCCCTATAGTCTGGTCCCTGTCTTTGGTAAGGTCTGATTGTTATCTGTAAGTCTTGTTTTGCCCACGGGATGGTGAACTTTTAGGAGTGAAATAGAAAAACTTGGTTATGGGAGCTGTCTAGACGTCAAACGGTTTGCTTTAACCATCTTAACAATCCCACATTATTGGTTCTATCCTTCGCTTCAGGACCTGTCCCTCAGTCTGGTTAGTACTCCATGCTGTCAGGCAGCAAAGCTTACAGTTGTTCACTAATTATGACGATTCACCAGGGCCTCTTTCCTCCTTTCTGCTCACTCGTATGGGTCCAAACCCCCACAAAGTGGGAGGAACTGAGGAAGTCAACTGAACATCTCAGCTATTGGAGGGAATTACCAATTGTTGTTTACCCAAATGATCACATTGGGTGAATTGCGACCTCATGCAATTGTATCGGGTGAGCAAAAGGAGAATTTCCCGTTTCTGTGGATCATGTGATTAGAGGTAGACAATCTTTCGGTACTCGCTATCCCAATTTTTTTAGAGTAATTCTTTTGGTGCCCACTAAGTTATTTTGTAAAGCTAACTTTAGTGGTTTTCAATTGGCCTTTTACTAGTGAGGCTTTATATTAAATTTGATTATGATATTTATTCTGATATGCTAAGTGTTATATTTTGTGTATCTTGTCCAATTTAGAGAAATATAGTACAATTTGTATAAATAAGACAGTAAGTTAGTATAGTGTTACTGTTAACTGATACTTAAGGACAGCATTGGACTCCTTTTTAGCATGACAAGGCTGTAATATTCACTACTTCTCTGTTGCCAATACTTCTTTACTTCAATTTCAAATTTAGGGTAATTTTGCAATATCTTTTGGGAAATGGAAGGCAGTTGTGCATGAAAATCCATGTACTAGCATTAGTTTCAAATTTTATTGTAGCTTCGAGCTCACGTACTGGGCTGAAATGCACGAAATATTATTATTGTCTGCCTTGAGAATTATTTCATGTGCCAAGATATTAAATATGTTCAAATAGATGGAGAACTTAGTAATGAAAATCAAAATATAGAAAGAAATTTTCAAGGCAGTTTCTTAATATTTTACTGAATTTGATTGTAACCTATTGATTCCTAAGACTTCTGGTGAAACTGAATTTTTGCTATTCTTATGGTGTCATAATCTATAGCAAGATAAGTATTATACATGAGTCTTACATTGTTTCCTTCAATTAATACATATAACATAAAGAGAGTTTTGAATGAGGTGATTGCTCATTCAATCTTACAGTCCAATGCGAATCAAAACATTCACCCATGTTTGCATATTGCTACAAATGAAATGGACTTTCTGATTGATCTACTACTTAGTACAAGAACACCATAACTTGCTCGAAAAGAGAGGAGAATATTAACAATGGTGCTAATCAGATGAAGCAGAAATTGAATCTCACAGGGATATGAACCTTCTCAGGTCGTTTAATAGATATTTTCCCAAAATTAGATTGTTGTTTGGTCATACATGTGCTTCCTCGATTTCTTAAGTCTCCATCGAAACTTGCAGATGTTTTGGTAGAATTGTCCTTCTTGGCAGGAACTGGTGATGGCAGAGGCTTCAAGAAAGGCTTGGGCATGCGATCAATAGGTAGGTAAATAGCTTTCTTGATGTCATCTACAAGTGCTGTGTTGGAATCAAATAAGTTGGAAGAGTTAAAAAACATTTGAAATGATTTCAAACAAGACAGATGAAGATTCTTGCATGGTTTTGGCAAATCATCAAATCCATCCATCAGAACATGTTTGAGGAATTCTTTCCACTTCAATCCCACAATCTCTTCCACATAAGCAATCGACTCATCGATATCAGCTTCTGGATTTTCGTTCGAGTGGAGCAATACAAGATTCATTTTTCCATCTGCTTTTTCCCTCTGTAGTTTCGAATAAAATTGAGAATTTTCAGTCATTAACAAACTTAAAAAGCATACGCATTGCACGCAAGAAAGTTTTCCCTTATCAATTACCTGATAACTCTGAGTGTCATTCAACAATCGTGTTATAGCCATGAGCAATTTCGTGATGTTCTCGTATTCTGCAGGTTTGAGCTTTTCATTTGGTATGCCTGGATTCAACAAACACGAGGCTGGAAGAGTAAGGGCGTGTGCAGAAATTGAAATCATCCCGGTTTGAAGATATTCATCCACTGACGGTATATACCCACTGTGGCTCCAGGTTTTTTCCACCATCCATGAAGCAAATGTTTCACGCCACTGTTAATACAGGATCGCAATTTACACTCAATACTCGTAGTGATACAATCTAGCAACGGTAAGAAATGTAGGTTAAAAACTTACAATATCTCGAATTTTTTCCCCAATTTCACTTCTTTCTTGTGTGTGAAACTTTGATGTAATGTTGTTGACAAAATCGTCAAGGACATTGAAGATAGTCTCACCATGTCCTTGTAGTCCTTTGCCATTCCATCTGCAAGGAAGTAGTTACCATCAATGGCTTGTTTGCTAAAAACCGTATAGTATCAAAATATCGTTTACGTAGGGAAAGTACCTTTTAACAGCATCTGTCAAGACTTCCAGCTCACTCGGAGAACCTTCCATGTCATAGAAGTCATCAGCAACTGTGACAATTATCCCAGCTTTTGCCACTATCAATCGAACAATGGAATCAAGAGGGAGGGAAACGCTGGCAGCAACAGCAAAGTATATATATGCAGTTTTTTCTCTACCGAATCCCATGTCACTAAGTCCCCATTTCACGGACCAACTGTTTCCATGAGTCGAGAAATGTTACTATATATTATCCATGTTTAATGCGTGCAAATTGTAATTATCAGATATCTGCACTCACCTTTTAAGTTCCTCTAATTCATTTCTGAATGTCAACTGTCGTAACTCATAATTTTTCACCGCAAGCTGCATTAGCTTCTTGTTGTCAAGACACGATAACCTGATAAGTTTAATTGTTTAAAGAGTTCCGGTCAGGACACACTGCATAGTAAAATATATAAAATTTTAACGTCTTTTTCTTTCTTTGATTATGTCGAATGTAGGCTAGTCAAGCATACATGTCATTGATGTACCTGTAATACGAGGCCTTCCCAATCCAAAAGGGGGTGACTTCATATTCTTCGATCCACTTCCTATGGTCAAGATGATCCAGTCGAGCAATCCATGGAAGGTTCAACTCATGCTCAACCTATAGTAAAGCCACAATTCGATGTAATCAGGTATAACTACATAATATTTTGATGAGGGAAGGGGAAAACAGGTCATTTACCACATTCTGAAATCCCTTGGACAGTACAAAATTATGATCCCTATTTCTTTTAATTGATTTTTCTAGCATTCTCTTGGCAAATTTTCTTGCCTCCTCTAACTCATACTCTTCAGGAAATGACAAATCTGAGGCTGTGTACACACTGTACATCACTGTAATGAATTGTTCATAGTTTTCTTCCATATGCTCCAGAATTTCTGCATGCTTCAGAAACCAACAGAAGTTCCCTAAACATGTACAAAATTTGAGTCAGTAAACTATTCACTAGCAATAAAATGGCTGAATTAAGTAAAGATTTTGAAATTCTACCTGGATTTACATCATATCCTTGCATTCGAAAGAGCCGAAAAGACAACGAGTCCTTGTATAATTTAATGGGTGACAGAAAGTCTGCTTTTCTTGGGTTTGCATTTTGCTTCTTCTGATCCCTGAACAGGTGAAGGCCAAAATTTTCATTTTTGTTACACACAATTAAATTAATAGAATATAGAGCTTTATATATAATTTTGATTTCTGTATATTTTTTCCTCTCCAATAATTCCCAATTTCGATGAGAAGTTAAAGGTGCCATATTCAAATAATATGTTTTCTCGATGAATATTTTACTTGAAGTAATATTAATGCTATATTTCCGGCTAAAAATCTCATTTTCAACGGATTTTGCATATTTATGGTAATTTTTGCGAAAATGTGTGATTAAATAAGAATGAAATTTTTTTCGTGTAATATTATTTTATTGGAAAATGTATGGTTGAAAAAGAAGAAAGAAAAATGTATTAAAATTTTAATGGGAACCAAACAAAGATTTAAATAATTCTTGGCTTCTTCAATAGAAGCCTCCGTTTGAGCGTCATTATAATTAGTGTTTGAAAAAAAAAATGTATTTTTAATGGTGTTTTTTCAAAGATATGTGGTTTAAAAAATAAAGAAGAATTTTGGATTTACATTCAACGTTCAAATTTTGCTTTCTAATTTTACCCTTAAATTGACAAAAATAATTACAACTTTAACCCTCAACTCATTTCACCTACGCCTTTTCATTTCACTCCAAGGAGAGATAGTTTGGGATAGGGACCCGAAAAGCCTGCATATTTTGGATGGGGAAAATGAAAACATGGAATAAATGCGTCCGAGTAAAGACTGACACGTTGCTGCTCTTCATGGGCCTGTAGATCTTGAATTAGGGATGACAAAAGTACCTCATCGTCTCGTCGCTTCAAAGTTCAACCCATGGACGAATCGGGCTGATTTCGGACGAGCTCGAGCTGAATCGGGAGTTCGGCCGACAAGTCGAGCAAGGCTCGACTCTTCAAGCTCGCGAATGCTCAAACGAGCTTGAGCTTAGCTCGTCAAGGTTGGACGAATCGGGCTAATTTCGGACGAGCCCGAGCCGAACCAAGAGTTCGTCCGACAAGTCGAACAAGGCTCGACTCTTCGAGCTTGTGAATGCTCAAACGAGCTTGAGCTCAGCTCGTCACCTTGACGAGCCTAACTCATGGGTAGATTGGCCGAGTCGCGAGCCAAGCTGGCTCGGTCCATTACCACCACTATCTTGAATTGAAAATGAGATTTTTGGCAAAAAAAGCAAGAGAGCAAAAAAAAGTGGCGTCAGAATTCAAACAAATAACAATTTGCAATTTTCTATTGGACAATAGCAAAAACAAAAGGAAAACGGACCAATGTAAAAATAGATTTTAGTAAAAATTATGGCTGCAATTTGTGTACAAGGGGAATTGCTGAAAAAACAGAAGGCTCAAATACAAAATCACATTGTACAATCAAGACGAATGATTCAAAACAGTATAGTCACTATTTGGACTCTATTAAAATGAAATTTTGAGAGAAAATACATTTGAAATAGTAATTTAAAAAAAAAAAAAAATGGTTGGTTAGAAAATAAGAAAATTTGTGAATTTATGTATACTATTGTTTTATGGGAGAATTGTGTTAAGAATGAGTTCTAAAGAAATATATTTTTGAAAGAATGGAGTCCAAATAAAACATAATATTACATTAATATTCAAGCTTATTTTAGAATGTTATCGTCGAAGTCTCAATTTTGTCGCTTCAATTGACCTTCACTCACTGAGACTGTAAAGGAAATTATGTTACTTTGATATAAATTAAAATTCAGATTTTAATATAAGTCAAAGTCAACAATTAGTTTTAATCATATATTTTATGGGATTCATAATTTTTTAATCATATATCTTATCAGTTTTTATCAAAATTTACTAAAAAATTTATTTTAATCCCCACCAAAGAAGGGCTACGTGTATGGCACATCGTTTTACAACTAAGAACTTCAGGAAATAAGTACTCAAAAATTTGATTACTTTTTCATTTCTTGATCTGTCCAATATTTCTTGATCTACCATATCAAACACAATATTAAATTATTAGTTGTGTCTAACCTGTAAATTTTCTCAAGTATTTTCTCGATCTCTTCATTGAAATGCTCAGTCAACCCCAGCCTTTGCACACGATCAACCATGCAAAGCTTTATTAATTCTTCGTCCATAGGATACTTTGCTGGTACTGTACAAAGTTGATTTAGGTTAGACCCATATTCCATTCATACATACACTAACCCATGACATCGAACACCAATTAATCGGTGAATTAATTTATTGTTTTGGGTCATATCACCGATATTCGAACATAAACTAAGTACCGGTGCTTAAGATAGCATACCTCCTCCATTAGGACAATTTCGTACGAGAGACTCGAGATATCTTATACACTTGATGTTTCCCGTGGCCATAAACGCAGAAGCTGTAGCAGAAGGTGACTGAAATAATGATCCATCATTGCTCAAATGCTTAACAATTTCCTGTTTATGGACATTATATGTGAGTGGCAAGCTCTCGAGGTATGCCAACAGAGGAAGATCACAATACCGCGATTCATCCACAAGCTCTTCCCTGTAAATCCATGCATGCACGTTAATTAAGCATTTAGAGAGAAAAAACCTTAATTATTAAAGACCTGTTTGGTGGAGTTGAAAATCAAATCTTTGATAAATTTTGATAACAGTTGATTGAATGTATGGTTGAAAAGTTGTGGATCTCATGAAACATGTGGTTCAAATTATTTTTTGACTTTAAATTAAATTAAAATCTGAATTTTAATCCCTAACCGGGACTAAGTTTTTGTTTGCATGCATGCATTAAACTTAAATCTTCTTGGCTAAGGTTGTTCCAGATAAGAATCATCAGGTGCATCTCGACGTCCCAAGTAGGTCGTCACCTATTTAGCAATGTCGTTATTTACCCATCTCAATATTTTTATTAGAAATAATAAAGAGAATGAGTTCATCAAAGTGGAAATTTAATAAAAGATCAACATAACTTATAATTAGCTGGAAAAATAAACGGGCAAAAAAAAAAAACTAATTTTTAGTAGATTTAGATTTTTATAGAAATTGATGAAATATGTATTTGAAAAGTTGTGAGACCCATAAAATGTGTGGTTAAAAATAATTATTGATTTTAACTCGAATTAAAATTTAGATTTTAATTGATACCAAACAAAGCAGTCTGCTGCCGAGTAGGAGAGACGATCCTACGATGTATATCACAATAAAAGTACATACGTGTTAAGAATTTGTTTCCGGTTGAAGAAAATGTCGGCTATCACTTCTTTCAATCCTTGAGAAAAATCAAGCTCTAGACCGGCTGCCTGAGCGAGTACAATCATTGCCGGAAAAACGATGAAAAACCACCGAGGAAGATTCTGGTAATTTATTTTGAGAAGTATCTCTACCTTGGAATGAATAAATGCCAATCCTGGTAAACAAAAGAAACGTATTCAAACGAAATCAATGAATATGCATGGTGTGACTCGTATGCATGTTCGCACATAATGTACGTATTGTTGATATTTAGAATATATACACGTAATTTTATCTACCAACTTGATTCATCGTTTCCATCACAGTTTCACTGAAAAATGAATCAGGGGCTCATTGCTACCTAAACTCGTAATGATTACTCCAATCACTGAATGAATCAGGTTTTGGATGTGAGATGCGCGTGTTGTTTTCTTTCAACAGTACCTTTTTCTATATTTTCTTGGCCTACATTCCAAGTTTTAAGGGCGACCATGCAAGAAAGAGTCGCGGGGAGAGTATCAATGGTTGGCAAACCCTCTTCATTTCTTTCGCCCCAAAATCCTTCTTCTTTCTGGTTTTCGAGTATCCAATTCAAGCAGTTCTTGAACATGGGACAATTTTGTTTACTGGGATGGGCTGGAATCATGGCTAACCAAGCAGTATCATAGGCAGATGGGGAAACAAATGCATGGAGATCATCATTTGAGAAAATCTCTTTCTTGATGTCACTTACTAGAGATTGAATTGAGGGTTTCGACGGCTCCATGGAAACAAATTAAAGCAGATATTTTTGAAAACTTTGTACTATGTTTTCTTGTTTTTACGATGATAATGTGTGAATCTATGGAGGGTCTCAATCCTATTTATATACTAGCTTTTTCAAATGGATGACGAACAATAGGGGGCGGCCCGTGTAACACACAGGGTCCAATGTGGTCCGTACTTGTAGAGTTTTTTTTATGACAATCCCCAAGATACGTACCAAGACTTTTTATTTATTTCTTTCTTGCTATCTTTTTTCGTAAAGTTCATTTTTTTAAAACTCATTTTCAACTACACATTTCATTGAATTCATTTTGTCAACTTTTTTACCAAATATTTTATCAACTTTTATCAAAGATACTAAAAATCTGATTTTTAACAAAACTAAACAGAGCCCTTGTGTGGTTCCCGTAAATTTTTTAGATTTTGAGAAAAAAAATGGACTCAAACAATTATGAGAAGAATTAAGGTTATGAAGTGTAAGTTCAGGTGTTGATTATGTCCTTGTTTGGGTTCTATTTTATCCAAAATGCATTTTTATTTATCTTCTTTTTGATTACGCATTTTTTAATAAAATAATATTATATGTAAATTTATTATTTTTTTCTTTTTTAATCACATATTTTTAAAAAATCACTATTTAAAACACATTTTAATGGAGTCCAACCAGTAGTAATGACAGGATTAGGGTCACTTCGTCTTTATTCATATTATGATGTAATAATGACAAAATTAGGGTCACTTTCATAGAGAGAGTGCTTTTTGTAGAAATATTTTATGAGAAAATTACCTTATGCTCGCTTCTTCCAAAACTCTTTTCATAAATAAAAGTATTTTAAAAAAATTATTCAAACATATTCCAAAAGAACTTATGAATCTCAATTTTTGAATTTTCAAATTCATATTAAGTTATGTTTGAACTCCATTTTTCTCAAAACTCATTTTCAAAAATACATTCTGTAGTAAAATAATTTTATACGTAACATAGAAAATTTTCTCTATATTTTAATCATATATTCTTCGACAAAATCACTATTTCAAAACCTATTTTACGAAAAAGAAATGGGACTCAAACGTGGCCAAATGTGCCCTGAGACAGTTTTGAAGAGACCTGTCCTGTCTTTATTTTCAATAACAAAATGAACATGAGGAGATGTACAAAATTAATAACAAAATGAAATAGAATATCTAACATTGATTCAATCCAGCAAATGAACATGAGGAGATGTACAAAACCAAAGCCCCTCCTATCTAATTTGGGAAAAATCACTGGAATTTAGAAAATCCGGTTGCAATTCTACCTTTTTTATGTCTGGAATTCAGAATCCCAAACCATGCTGACGGCGGTCCCTTCCTTCTTCGGCTCTCCCTATGGCAGTGGTTCGACGGCAGCGGTCCCTTCCTTCTTGGGCTCTCCATGTGGCAGTGGTTTGAGGGATTGGGTTGGACAGATTTTGGGGAAGGATTTGAGCCTTTTTTATGAGGCCCTAGGCAGCAACAAATGGTCGGCTTCGGCCAAGGACGGGCCTGTTCGCGGTGGTGGTCGACAAAAAATTCGATTAGGGGAGTGAGTTGAGGGTTTCTTATTTTTTCCGGCCAAATGAACGGAGATTCTCGTGAGTTTTGGGTGGTGGAGTGAGGTTTCTGTGTGTTTTTGTTTTGGTTTCACCCTTCTTTGCCTTTTTTTTGAAATCCACAATGACAGAATTTTTTCCTGACACTTACACAATTTTTGT